TTGTCAGACAGGTTCTATCTGAGTTCAGGCAGCAACTAAAAATGGGTGTGGCTAGTAAAAATGAATAAGGACACCAGTTTTATTTCATGATGGTATATGTTTGCATAAATAGCTCTCTCAGCTTAATTAGTAAAATCTTAATTTGAAAACTTCATTCTTTAATTACTCTGGACATCTTAGTCTAATATCAAAACTTGTTTGATGATCTGAAACATATTAGTGCAAGAACAAAAAAGGAAAAAGAGAAGAAATCTGTTTGGGCTATCTTTCCACAGAATCTTATGAGATAGAGATGAGGCCTGGATAGATGCACACGAAGCTTTATATGTACTGTGAAACACATGCAACCGCAATGTTACTGCAGTGGCCCCACTGGAATACCAAACAATGGTGCTGCTGGGTGCTGAATATAATTGTTTGTGTGTGAATCATCTCTTTGCAGCATTTCTAATTACTCTGGTGGTGCTGGACTAATACATATTGGCAGCACTGTAATATTCATTAGCAGATAAGATTTCTGTCTCAGCTGCAAATGAAAAATTTAGGGGGGGATTTTAATTTTACATCATAAACAAGCTTGCAAATGACTTTGGATGGGAGATAATATATTTTAGCTGAAGCATAAACTTCAGATTGATAGTGCTGTTGAATGTTTATTTCTCATTTCTGCTGCATAAATTTATCTCCATCATTAAAATGTAGATGAAATTACTTATTTACTTGGTTTCAGACTCCATAATCATTTCTCATATGTATATCTCTTTTTTTAGCTTAGAAGTTTTCACAGTACAGTTGACACCTGAAGCCAACGATGCTTAGAAACGACAGGAAGGGAGAGGAGGCAGGATGGGTGGAGCGGGAAATGAGTACTGTTGGCTGTGGTGCTCAATTTGCCATGCTGAAAGAGTGTTAAGCTGTATGGAGGCAAAACTGTGCTTAATACCATCAAAGCAATCAACACAGAGAAAAAAAAGGCAAATATATATAAATAGCAAAAAAGAGGTAGTTTGAAAACCAAGCCATGCAAAAACATCAAGAACTGCTCACATAAAGAAAATAAAAGGCAAATCTCATCAAAGCTGACTTTAAGGGAAAAAGAAAAAAAGAAAAGCCTGCAGAGCTGAAATAGAACCAAAATACAGTGAGACAAGCTGCTAATGTGTCCCATTAAAAACAAAAGATAACAATAACAACAATGATCATACAGAAATAAACAGCAGAAAGCATTGTTTACACATGTGAAGGCATGTTGCCGTTACCTGAGCATAATACTCCAATAGCCCATCACCCCCCACCCCCCCTACTGAAAAGAGTCTTAACCTTTTCAGGTAATTTGGCTATAAGGTGTTTTTTAGCTTTTGTTATGCCATGTAATTCTACATCTGCTCAGGTAAAGGCAACTAGAAGCACGACAGCATGTTATGATGCTGGCTGTGGGCATGCTGTCTGAAGTCTCTGCCACCATTGTGCTTGGATCTACCCATTGCTGCCTTGGCTGCTTCCAGCTGATGTGCCACTATCTCGCTGTGTTTCCTCCAAAGACAGGAAACACAGGAATACCTCTTGCAGAAACCAAAATAACACTTTATAGACAGAGACGGTGTGATTTTCTCTAGTCCTCATTAAGGACTCTCATACAGAGAACCTTCACATCAGATTCGTATCACCAAATACTTTTGAACTCATTTTTTTCCCCCACACAGGAACAATCGTCCTATCAGTCCTACTTGTCAACAGATGAATTCTTCAAAGACTGTTATAAGCTTGTGAGTGAAGTTGCTTCCTGTGTTCTCAGGTTGTTTTTACCTCCCAGAAGGCTGAAAATGGCATCAATCTTTCTGTGTGAAGCAAAATCCCCCAGTCTCAGCTCAACAGCTACTTCTTAAGTTCTTCTTTTTACATATACAGCATTCTTTCTATGGATGCATCTAACGCTCATAAAAATCATTATATATTAATTTTATGCTTCTTTATCTGTAGCTAATAACATTTGAACATTTTTAGGTTTTGTCTTACAGGACAATGCTTTTCTAAGTATTTTGGGCCTTTTAGTGTAAAATAATAACGCAATTTTGAAAAGTAGCACCAAAAGGTCTTTCCGTGGCATCATACCTCTACTACCATGTTTGACCATAGTGTTAGGGTTTGTTTTTCTTATGCTTTTTCAGAAATTTTATGCATAAGGCAGATAGATTTTGTTTTAGTCTCATCCACGTTTGTTTTGTCCCCTACAAGGCTAGAAGCTAGAAGAACCTTAACTTCTTAAGCCTTCATTGCAAAAGTTTCTTTTTGAATTTGTGAAAGCGTGCATGACTAAAAGATGCCCTTTTAACAGAATCCCTCACTTAAGCTGTGGAGGTCTTCACCTCCTCAAGTTACCACAGGATTGACTGCTTAATGCTCCTCTTGTCTGGACAGTAGATTTAGGTGGGCAGTCGTTTATCAATAGGTTAGAAGTTGTGCCATACTCGTTTCGATTGTAATGACAGATTTGAACAATAAATATTCAAAGTCTCGGTTGCACAGACAAATTCTTTTTAATTTTCCCTGCTACATTACACCTTGTTTAATGTTTGCTGACTAATGTTCTCTATGAAGCCTCTGTGGTCTTTTTAGCTTAGCTAGATTTATGTTGAAATTAAATTGCACACAGTCACAGACTCTTGTTTACTTATTACATGGTTGCTTGAAGTAGTTCATTGCAGTCGATTATATTTAGGGCTGCCAGTGTAAAGAGGAACAAAAATAAATGAAAAAAACATAAATCGTCTTCCCTTTCTGCAAAGTGCAAGGCTTCTCTTAGTTATCTATATTAAAGCAGTGCTAAAGAACTTTCAGTTTAGGTCGATTTCAGCTTCCCCAAGTGGACAAAAGCTGTATTGTTTGCCTGAAGGAAGACCTCATTTCCCATGAGAACCAGCGTGGTAGAGACCATAACGTGTTAAGACCTGATCTCTTGGTCGCCTGTAGTTAGATTGAACAACATTTCTGTTTCCAGGGGCAGCGTGAAAGCCGAAAAGCAATGAGGTAGAGAATCTAACTGTGGTGAAACAATGTCAGTTTAACTTTGGCTTTGTACTGTAGTCCTGCACCACCGCCCCCACCTCATCCAACTCGTTAGCAACTAATGTGCTGAAGAGTTTAGAGCCTTGAATCAAATTAATATAATGACGGAGGGCCGCTGGATGTAATTTTGAACAGGGAGAGCTGGGAATTTTTTTTATTTTTTATTTTTTTGGACAAAAGACCTATGAGCCCATAGGCCAATTTAAGTTAAAACAAAAAATAAATAAATGGATTGAGATTCACTTTTTTATTGTCATATAACTTCAGTGCAAGCAACCAGGGTCTGTAACACACAGACATCAATAATCACATTAATCATTAATCAGTTCTCAGGTGACTATATGCACTATTAATTAAACTTCACAATGAAAAAAAATTCCGTGCAGGAAATTTGAAACTGGATGTTGGCTGGAATGGCCTGTCTAATCCAATCTAGGTTGTCTGCTGAGACTGTGCCTGCCGTTGTTCCTGCCATCAGAGGCGGTTAGACAGTCTCCTCACTCCGGCTGCTCTCCGTTGAGGTACTAGTGTTCTTTATCAGTGGTGATGGTTTTAAAAAAAAATCCGAAATGCGTTTCTGTCATTAGACTATGACGTTTCTCAATTCACAAGAACACATGTACAGACTCGTGTCCTCACCAAGTATGTTCTTGAGAAGAACACAGAAAAATATGGTCTCGGGGAGAACGGGAGCACGCAGCATAAATATGGGTCAATTGGAACAGAAGTGTACTTGTGATGTCACCACACGCTCCGCTCTTCTGGAGCTACATTTCATCTTGTGTAATTAATAGTCTCTAGATAATAATACATTCTTATTTTTTTCATTTAGTGGGGGATTAATAATTAACGAGGTCAGATAAACACAAATCAAATTAATATTTTGCCAAATAAAACAAAAAAATCACCATCAAAGCCAGCGGTACTTAACACACGGATATGCCAAGAGAGGGCTGCTGCAAACGGGCTGTGGTTAGCCCTGGCTGTGTTTAGCCTTGGAGGTCCGCTGGTTGCCACAGTTATGAAAATTACAAATTATAAAAATACTTTATGAAGGTTGAAAAGTTACTTATTATTGGTTTGAGTCCAGATAAAGAAGGCTCTATTTTGTGGAAAAGTTTGGCTGATTTGAATTATTTGACAATGGGACTGTATGGTTTTATGATCAATGAAGTTTTAATCAATAATGTTTATAGTCAATATCTTCAGTAATCTTGCAGTTTGTTTTAATGCAGAAACAATAAAATCTTGCCGCTACATGTTAGATGTCATTTTAATAGGATGTGTTATATGCTTGTCTGTCTAAGTATAATAGACTGGTAGCACTCTGGAGACCTTTACGTTCCTGATTCGTCCTCCTCTATCCTTTACTATGTGACTCATTTATCCGCAGAGCTGCCCTTGAGGCAGCAAGGCATTAGGCAGGTGGTTAACACAGGAGAAAAAAGCCCTTTCAATGTCATGTCACTGTGTCATAAAGTATGGCACAGCCGGTGACCGGGCCATCTTCTCCAAGAAATAAATACACCGCCATCTTCCTTTTCAGAGTGTAATGGTCTGGATATTACATCTCCTATGGGACATTACGATCCACAGATAATAAATCCACCCTACATTATGTGTGTTTGTTTGTGTATTTCAGTGTGTATGTAACCATCCTAACAAGTGCTGAATGTGGAGGTATACATTGTTGAACGTGTGCCATCTAGCTTGTTTGCTACTTTCTGTGATGGGTATTTTTGTGCAACACATGAGGCAATTTGTCCCCAAGAGAGAAAACCATCCACCATCTCTACACTTCGTCAGCTGGAAGCAGTAAGACAGCCGTAAATCTCAATTACTTAACCCCCCCTTCCATTTCAAGTTCCTACCCCTTCCTTTCATTAGCCTGTTGCCACAGGACCTAAATGACTGATTTCTGTTCCAAGGCTTACCATTGGCTTCAGGTTGAGTCTGAGAGGGTACTGCCACGTAGGACTCCTCCCCTTTGTCTGAACTCATGGGGGGCTCCTTCCGCCCCAGGGGACCATCTGCTGCCTCAGGCAGGGCCGAGGTGGGAAGTGAAAGGGTGTGGTGATGATGATGGTGGTGGCCTGCCGGACACAGCACAGGTTAACTCATGCTCAGAGCAGACAAGACCAAGGTCTAGTGCACACTGGCACAGACAGGCCAGCTGGGTTGTTTTGTCTCTCTCTCCCTCTCTCTCTCACACACACACACACGCACATCCACACACCCTTCTACAGACACCACATAAACTCACACATCCAGTCCCAAGCTTTGTAAACATAAACTCAGACAGCTGCAGGGCTGTGGGGTTTAACAAGGTGCTTCCATTGTGACCCTTTGTTGCTCATTAGCAATTACATATGTGTTTCTAAGGATTGACACGTTTCATCGTCCTGACATTTCCTACGTCTTTATCCCCCCTCTGTTCTGATTGACATGTCAGATCTCCGCTGGGCCTGTCACATGATAATTTCTTCACTGTAACAACAGGGTGCCTCTCTTTCATATGTAGGACAAAAGGCAAACTTTCTCCCCACCAGTCCTGTTGAGGATTCTGCCTGTAACTCCTCTTCAACTACAAAGGGGGCTTTACTCTGAACAGTTTTTTCTCTGCCATTTTGTGTGCATGCTTTTTTTCATTTAAAGTTTTTGATTAAATTTGTGGCACAGTACATTTCATCTTTTTTGTTGGGAAAGAAAAGTTGGAGAAAAAGAAAATGTGCAGACCAAGAAAACTGATCTCAAACTTGCAGAGTACATTATAAATCCGAAACCTTATAAAGCCGCCATACTGCTTAAAATGATATTTTTCCCTCGTGTTGAGATTTTTGTGAAAAGCCAAAACAACCTATCTAAATATCTGGACTAATACATGCTTTTTCAAAGTCTATTCCAAATACAAATGTAAATGGTCCTAGAAATACACCGTGATGTACGTACAGTAGACTGGCTTAGGTTAGGGGTGTCCAATTTCAGTCATCAAGGACCATTTTCCTTCGTGTCTCTGCTCCCGTATAGCTGATTCATGTACCAAAATAAACTCTTTACATGTTATAAACTTCCAAAGCAGCCTGAAACTTCAATATTAATTTGCTTCAGATTTTTTGTTGAACATGCAAGGCACCTGCACTTTACAGTAGGACCAACATTGGACAGCGAGGATTTAGATCAAAACATATTGTTTTTTTAAAATGGCCTAATTAAAGCACATTGGCAATCTGTGGCAAACAATGCTGAAAACAATGAGCAAAGATTTCATTATCTGGTGTAGATGTGTAAAGCATCTGAAACTGCAATTAGAACAAATAGTGGTTTTACAAAGCATTTCACCAGAGGGGTTGAAGACAAATGCACACCACGCATTTTAAATCTTACTTTAGAAAACAGTAGCTAAAAAATTGATTTCTCAACATTTTATACTATGCGTCTGTCTTTTACATAAAACCATGTAAGTAAAAAATGTGATAAAGTTCTAGGGATATAAACACCACTTTAAAAGGCTCTCTTAGCTATTCCCTTTTCCTGCAGGTGATGAATCACGCATATCTCTCTCCTGTTGATATTCAAACATATTTCACGCAGTCAGTTTCCCTCCATCCGCCTTTCTAACACTTCTCATTGTATTTCATGAGCAGAATTTATGCATAAGCTTTGTCTGACTCTTTTTTTTTAACCGTCACAATCACATTACCATCCCACATGGTTACAGTTAAGCCACCCTTCACACTTTGCTGAAGCTATATATGGTATATAGCATAATCTATTTAAGCTACTTGGTAAAGAGGGAAAAAAAGAGTGCCTCCCTCAATTAAGAGCAGAGACACTTTTATCTACATCGGCTCGGTTACTGCTTTTGACAAGCCTTCTCTATAGAGGAGGTGACAGCATAGGAGTGTGTGTTTGTTTGAGGGTGTGCATGTTCAATGTGTGTTTATGCTGTTAAGTAAGGGAGGCTACACCAGGATGCTGCACATAACAGAACCCCCCAGCAACACCCACCTTCACAGGACACCACTCAAGGCCTCCTCCTCCTCTGTGTGGCGTGGCAATCATTAAAATGATTTATTTAACTATTGGCCCAAGGCTGAAAGATTAGTGTGACAGGCCTATTTTATAATTCATATCGCCACCAACAGGAGAAGTGCAATCCAGGCAGATGACACACATATATTGAGCCCAGACACTCTGTGCTCCTTCCGAGATCAGTAGCGGTTGGGGAAAAAAAAGGTTGTCTTGTCTCAAGTTAAAAAAAGATGAGATTTTAGCGGCTGAAATAATTTATCTTAAAATCCATATCAACCACCAACAGATAGGATGAGGGTTTCAGGAAATGGCTGAGACTGCGTCTGGACCCCCCAAACTAAGTGTGAGTGTGTGCTTGTGCCTCAAAAAACACATCTAAGCCTCTGGGAGCATATTGCACAGTATGAGGGGGTGCACACCAACAAAGATGCTTTTTGGATGACCCTGGATCTCCAAAAAGAAGGAGAATCACAGTGGGAGTACAGCCACAGGGGGGTGAGTGAGAGGGCTTGTTGGAGAGACTTCAAAATATCTATTCTCGTCATTCTGCAAGGATAAGACCGTTTTGATCTGGCAGCTGCGAGGCACTATGTTTGTAATAGTCTGTTTGAGAGAGTGGAGAGGGATTCACAAAATAAAGCTAATTTGTCCTCTGATTTGTTAAAACTAATCTTACAAATTACATGTGGTTTTATATCACATGATATCAGGGGTCTACACATTTTCATGATGAAATTCAAAAATTTTCTTGAATCTATAGTTAAAGGTTAGACTTTAAATATAGAGTGCGTATAAACCAAATATGTTAATAGAATGGATGTATNATGGATGGATGGATGGATGGATGGATGGATGGATGGATGGATGGATGGATGGATGGATGGATGGATGGATGGATGGATGCATGGATGGATGCATGGATGGATGGATGGATGGATGGATGGATGCATGGATGGATGGATGGATGGATGGATGGATGGATGGATGGATGGATGGATGGATGGATGGAGAACATTAGACAGCAAATGTAGTTAGAACAAATAATAAGTTTCTGAAGCAGTGTAGGAACCCTGTTATATTGTGATAGATTAGGAGAGCACACATATTTAACCCACATCAATTGCCATCGTCATATCACCCACATTAAATGACCATGTAATCCTTCTCCTGATTGGTCATGCATGCACTGCCGCAGAAATAAGTCATTGAGTGTACCTTGGGGCTTTTGGCTCAAGAGCGGCTGACTATTCCCAGATTGGCATCCAGAGTGTGAAAAAAAAAAAAAAAAACGAACTAAAATACCATAGACTCATTTGACAATTTTTCTTTTGTAGATCACAAAATAACTTGGCATGGTGTAAGGACCTCTGCTTTTCTCTTCAATTTTTGGTGGCCTTTTTGGACTATTCCAATTTTGGTTTACTGGGACAATTGCGGTTAAAAATTGAAAAATTTACTCACAAACTGAGCTTTTGAAGCAATGACTTTTGCATTTTAAATAGCATAACAAATGCTATAAATACTGGTATAATGAAATTGAAAATTCAAAAGTTTTATTTCCTTAAAAGATATTTAGTTTGTTGTAGGCCAATTTTCATTTATATAATAATAAATATACTATATATCATAATTCAGGCACTATAAAGAACCAATCTTTTGCCAAACTGGCTCGTAGCTCATATAGCATTAATGGCCCTAAAACACAAGGCTACTGTATGTGGTGTGACTGACAACTGGCACCGGCTCTCTCTATCTAAAAATGTCTAGAGCTCACAGTGAGGAGCTCTCCCACAATCAAAGCCTTTAACCACTGACAACCAGATCCATCCAATTAACAAAGCAAAGGTCATGGCTAATCAATGGAGCACCACAAGGGAAGGAGGAGGATGAAGCTACAAGAACACGCTTAGGGGAGAAGGTTTAATAAACTAAAGTAATCAGACCTAAAGGAGAATGATTGTGATCTCCTCTATCTTTATTCTATACACCACAAGGAGCTACATGAGTAGAGTGTGAAAGTGACCGACTTTCATTACCTTCATAGCCAGAAGGGATGTCTATCAAAAAGAAAGGAATAAAATCAATTCAGTTAAAACCTGGAGTCATTAATGACCTGCCTTTACGCATGTGGGAGGAGTTTTAATTTGCTTGAGAGGGGATGAATGACCAGGCTGATGAAGAGGTGTGGCTCAAGTTAAAGATTAAAGGGGAAAAGGATGGGGCTTCAAACTTTAATCTGATTGCCTGTGAGGTGCATGAGGAACACTTACCATTCAGTGCCACAAATGTATCTGCAAAGAAAAAGAAGGGAAATGAAAGGAAAGCTGTTATTGTGGGCAATAAAGGGGGCTTATATGCCTAAACATGATGGAAAGCCATGACTTTTAAAGTAATTTGGAATGGGCTGGCAGCTCAATATTCTCTTTTCGTCCGATCAAAGGGCATTAATCAGGCCTCTATGGCTGATGAGGGTACAATGCTTTGGGTTAGACTATAAACACTCCAATGAAAGGAGAGAATTATAGCCTTTATTTACTCTGTAATTTACTGATCTGTTTCAATGTCAAATAGGGTTTGAAGTTTGAAGAGAATATTAAGAAGGGGAATCACATTTGCAAGTCTTTACAGTTACAGTGCTTTAGACCTGAAAGGATCAAATGTACTGTTGTGAAGTTTTAGGAATCAAAGCTAGCTTTCAAGAGTTGAGGCTGGCTTTGAATAAACTAACTCTGTACTCCAAGAAATGGGCCCTGTGACATTTCACTTGTACATACTCAGCGTGCTGTCAAGTTGTTTGTGTTTTTGAGGAAATTCTCAATAAATAACCCCGTTTTCACCCAATTGGACACGACATGCTATTGACCAAGGGGACCAGAGAAACAGTGGGGAAAGGACACAAGAAGATGAGAGCTGCAAGGGACAGATGGATGGAAGAGGCTTGAAAGAGAGAATTGTAAGGCAGGAACAGACGGAAGAGGAAAAAGGTGACGGTACCAAAGGAGGAAACAACGGGTTGAGAGGTGGGGGGGAGCAGAGTTACTAGAGAAAAGAGGAGGAGTGGTGTTGGTGAGGGAGTTATGGAAAAGTGGAGGAAAGATAAGAGTGAAGAGGGTTTGCTTACTTTGGCAGTCTCCCAGGCCATCTGTGTTACCATGCTCCACGTCCTGCTCGAAGGCTGATCTGCGGGGAACAGAGACATCACGGTCAGCGGTGGAAAACAGGGCAGGCCATGCACACAGGCTTGCCACACCTAACACAGCCATGGGAAAGCTCAAACAGAAACACCATCAGAGATAGCATACGCTGGAAACACAGTTTAAACTACAGAGAGTCCTATGCAACACTGAAAAACAAAGAACACCTGGCAAGCACCCCAGAGACCTGAATCAGTGATAATACAGACAGCAAACAGGAAAGTAAATGGCTAGAAGAAAAGCTGTTGCAAGGATTGTTGAAAATAGTCATGCTTTATGTATTATGCTGGTAGGTCTTCACAGCTACTTTAATATATCTCATGGCAGTGGTTTTCATGCTTTTCTGTGTTGCAACTGCATGTTAGAAAACAGAAGATACCAGAAGAAAATGTACTTCATGGTGCACAATTATTTCTTTATTCCAAGGGAACAATTTATCCTATTGAGGCAAAAGCTTGAGTGAAAACAGAGATCAGATTAAATCATTAATTTTCTCAAACCTTGGCAGATCAGAGACCCTTCCATAATATGTATTAGATAATGTCAGTGGTTGGTTCACATTATTCTAGAGGAGGTCAGCTCCTTTTACACTCCTTTGCATTGTTATATCTACAATGCAAACCAAATATAAAAATTATACCTGGAAGATTAGCACTGGGACTTAGAACTGAGGCCATGTAGAAAAAGGGGTAGGAAAATACAGGGTAGGTGATATACTATTCTAAGAGCTGGGTCTTCAAAATCAAATCAGTGAATTTATTTGCAGTATTGCCATGCTAGTTTACAATTCCAGTCATCTTGAGGCACTTGACAGATTCAAGATCAAATCAGACAGATCGGTTTGAAATATTGGTATCTAAGGACACTCGACAGATTGCATTCACTGCTGCCAACCTAGAGACTTTGTCACTTTATTCTGTATTTTTTTAGGCCCTCTTGCAAATTATTTTTTTTAAAGTGACTAGTAACTAATTAGGCAACTTTTTCTTCTGATGTAAAAGACTTTGGGAAAAACAACTGAAAGCACTAATGACTCTAGTTACTCCCCTAAGCGAGCAGCAGGTGCTACTGTGAGTCCCTCCCCCTCTAAAAGCATATATGGTCAGTTTCAGCAGACACTATTCAGGCAAACCCTACCTGCAGACAGAGTAGAAAGGAGGCTGGCTCCAGTCTGTTTACCCACTGGAAATGAGATACACATGTGCAAAGCAGCAGCTCATCCTGCCATGAATTACAAAGTGGGATGTAAATATAATGTAAATATGATTTTATTTATGTGATTTCTTGTTCATTTTCTCTGAAACTGTTTCACTAAATCTCTGTATTTGATTCGCACACAACCACAGTCACTTATTAAACTCATCAGCTTCTATAACTTTGTGTTTGTTACTTTTGATACTATAAATACATTTATTTATGTAGTTTGAGTTCAGGCAGAGCATTGATAAATATTTTAAATGATTAAATTCAAGTGTAGTTTTAAACATAATTAGATTGTCTTAAATGAATTTCTGCTGCTCTTAACTTTGATATTCTTCTCTCCTACAACCTGGATCAAAGCATGACCAAATATGCAAATCAGGTCATTAGTCATCTAGTGACTTCTAGCAATGTTTAGGACAGCCAACATTGACATTCCTTACTGAGAAGTCGATTGTATGGAGTAAACGACACTATGCAAGTGACCAGGAGAAGCAAATTCTGCAAACCAGTAAGTCAATGCAATCAGCTGGATTTCCTTAGATAGAAAACGTTCACCAATCTGGCATTTGGATTTGATTCAATTGTCTAGCTAAAGTGCCTTGAGATTATGTGTGTTATGAATAGGGACTATATAGATAAATTGAACTGAATTTACTAATAAAAAAAGCACAAACTGTTCTCTATTTCACATTAGAACAATACATGGTTTATGATTCAAATAGCTAGCGAATAAATGTGTTAATTTTATATTTTTCACTATTTATACTCTGTTAAATTGGGCTGTTCTGCTGCCTTTATTATCAACACCAGTCAAATAAAAAGGAGAGCAATTTATATTTTTTTATGTTTCTTTTTTTTTTTTTCTTTAGTCCTTTACATTGTGCAATGTTTTCCCATGTATGCACCATCTGACTTTATCTAGCCTCAAAAGTAATGTGATTGTGTAGCTACGATCACATGAGGTGAGAGCAGAGCAGTGGGGGGTAACCATGCTTAAGGGCCATCATATGACACAGAGTGAGAAATCTTGGGTTATGTTATTTTCTGTTGCAGTCCACACTGAGCCCTGTTTTCTCCCTGAAAGACCACCAAGCAAGCTGTAAGGAGATCAATGTAACAGAGCGTACCAACTGTCAACCAAAATCACAGTCACGCATGATATTTTTTTATGGCCCATCTCAACTCTTTCCCCTGCACTCCCCCTCCGTCCTCTGTCCATCCACCCATCTCTCATCTTCCCCACCCTCCAGTGGTCTCAATCATAGCATAAACTGAGATTTTCCCTTGTGTGGAAAAATACAGACCTCACAAGCTCAGGTAATTTTTTAAGACCTAAAGCGTTCTATCATCTCTAAGACAGCCAAAGCCACTACACTGGTATTGGTACAATGCCAGAAGATGCAACGATGTTTTGTGTGCATGTAAAAATATTTTGATCCATTAAAAACAACAATAGCAAAATAATATCAAAGAAAGCAAACTTCTACAGAGGCGGGTATAAATAAATGCAGATGAACAGCAGACAATCTTTATAAAGATAAAATAAATATTTCATAAAAAAGAAAATATCATGAGATGTATCATGTTCAATTCCTGTTTTGACTTGATAAATCTTTTTAACCTCTCAAAACCCACCAGGTTTCTGGTGCACCATTTCCAAGCGTTTACAACTAACAACTCAGAACGCATGAAAATTGCACCGGTAAAATTTTTACCAATATAGACATGTTAGACATCGTTGGAAACCCATTATATTATATTATATTATATTATATTATATTATATTATATTATATTATATTATATTATATTATATTATATTATATTATATTNTATTATATTATATTATATTATATTATATTATATTATATTATATTATATTATATTATATTATATTATATAATTATATTATATTATTTGTTAAAGCTTATAGTTAGAGTGGCTCAGGTTATCCTGAACTATCTCTATAGTTATGCTGCTATAGGCTTTCATAGTCTCGTCTGTTCCTGTTTGGCTGTGACACCACCCTGGAGAGAAATACCATCTGTGCCGCTGCCATCAACACCTTTGTTTATAGATGTTCAAGATCAGCCTGTTTTTCAGTGTAGTCCTGTTTCTCTGACTGTGACTTGCTGGATGTGCTCTATTCATCCTCTGACATGATAGCTGGCTCAGAGCTCATCTGCCTGCCTGTGTGTTTACAGTTTGCTTTTGTATCTCTGCTTCATTCTCTATGTCTGCCTCTGTCTCCTTGAACCCCAGTCGGCCTTGGCAGATGGCTGCTCAAACTGAGCCTGGTTCTGCTGGAGGTTTCTTCCTGTTAAAAGGGAGTTTTTCCTCTCCACTGTCACTACAAGCATACTTAGTGTGAGGGATTGCATTTGAGTCAATGAGTCGATGCAATCAACTGGTTTTCCTTAGATAGAAGACATACATATTGGACTGTATGATCTGGTGAACTATAAAGTGCCTTGAGATTATGTGTTGTGAATTGGCGCAATACAAATAAACTGAATTGAATCAAAGGAGCCAGGAACAAGATATGGGGAGGCTGCATCTCCTTGCAAAATGTATTTTTATCAAAATAAATTGCACATGTAATTAAGTGCCTCTTTTTTGAAAAATGTGAAGATGAAGCCAATACTATTTGGCAAAGGGCAACATCTTTGTAGGTTTTGTTAGAGTTACCATGCCCTTTCAATTATAAGGTGATGGATTGAGCAGCAGTGTAAGATGTTTTAAGCTATTGTTTGTAACTTAATAGTGCTTTAAACATATCTACGACTTCAACATGGTCTTCATGATGTTCTTGTTTAATAACATTCTCTGAAAAAGCTTTCCAAAAACAGTTTTATTAAATAAAGAGCTACATATCGAAGTCATAGAGTTGCATTGCATTTAAGGATAATAGAGTAAAGATGTCTGATTTACATGCAGGCTACTATCATTTTTAACACTTTTCAAGCATGCAGTAAGAATCAAACCATTTAATCAGGAACATTGAATTGTCATGTTCACAATTTGTTCCTTTCTTACATAAAAATCTTTTTAAAGATCCAGCACTAGACATTAAGAGTGGCATTCTTGCTTCATATCTGAAGATTCAGTTAATCTGTTTATCTGATTTTTTTTATGCTTAAATGTTAACACAAAGCTGAGACAGAATTTTAAAACTTGCTGAGTGCCGATAAAGTCAAAGCATGTCTGGTATCTGACAAAAACCCATATAGACATCAACACTTAATCCTGCTCTGGCTTGAAATGCTGTGCATTTCTGACAGTTTTTTGTCATGGTTTCCAGTATTCGTTTATGTTAAGATTACCGACTGTGGTGAGATAAACATTAAACGGTTCAAATCCAACTGGATTAAAGATTAATTAACTATAAGCATTTCTTTTATAGATGTCGTATCTGGGCTTTAGTTGGCACATATAAAGAATAAATGTATGAACCCCGAGTTAAGGAGGTCAAACCCATAGTGGTTTAATTCCTGAATGAGCAATGCAGTGTTAGAATGCAACACTACAGACAGTCCGTTTAGGGTTAAGAGCCCCCTGCAACCGTACAGTGTAATACATATTTAAATCACACAGGAGATGCGCTCCACAAAGCTGGAGGGAACCAAGAATGCTGTTTAATATTTATCACCTGGCATAATTTAAGATTATTATGCTAGATGAGAGGTTTGTGTAGAGGGGACATGGTTGGTGGAAATGTGGGTCAAGCAGAGTGGTTTTAATTATTTATAATAGAGTTTAATAACTGGAAAGCAGCAAAAATACTATACATACAGTAAGACTTAAATATGTTGCTTGGTCCCCTAAAACTGTCGTTTACCTTTTTTGATTACATTTTTCACTTCACTGGGTTACAAACCAACATATGGTTTCATGTTATCTGAGTGTTTTTATCAGATAGGTTGATTACAGCAACACAACCTTGTAGCTACTTTATAATGTACTGACAATTCAGAGTCAGGTGCAATTATATGCATGAGAAAAAGGGGTGACCAGGGACCATATTGTAAGACTACAGCACAAGCTGTTTGCAGGCAGTAGGTATAAGAGGCATAACTACACATGGGAAAGCTGGCACGCTAGCATTGGGGCCAGATGGAAGAAGTAAAGGAGGGGAGGCTTGAAAGAGAAGAAGAGTGTGCTGGAGGAATATAGAGGAATAAAAATAGATACACAGGCAGGATTGGACAAAGGAAGGTAAGGCAAGAATCTTGGATGTGAAAAAAAATTCAGACCTCTTCCCATCTCAGTCCAAATCATAATCTATTAGAATAAATCATTTTTCCTCCTATCTTGAAATTATTGCTCTAAATAAAGTTTCTGTGCAACTAGATTGCCTGGTAGTGAATAACAAAAACATTTAAAATTTTCAATTAAAAAGCCTTTACATGTTTTTTTGTGGCTTTAAGATCATTACAGCCTTAGTTCTTATGAGCAGGCTTGACCTGTTTGCCATTCCTCTGTGCAGGTGATAGGGATCTGGCTTGTAAAGCACCGTCTTTCTGGCGCTCTCTCTTTCTCGCTCACTGGCTGGCTCCACTCTCTCCACGTTTCCCTAACGGATATGCTCTTGCTCTCCTGTTGCTCTGCAACTGGGATGTTTATTTCATCATGCATATTTGAGTTTTTTTTTTCCCTCGACTTTAAATCGCTTATACATGGTTTTGTTTTTCTATGCTTTACCTTCATTAAATGTTATGCACCTTTACTTGTCACTTGGTCTCCCTTTATTTCCTGCCACACTGAGCCAGTAGAAGCATATTAAGGGCTTTTCTGGGATCCAGGAAACTAATTTATACAAAACTATGTGTAAACAATGTAAGGTAAAAAACAAAAACAAAAAATAAGGGACAAACTCAAATGTGCATAATGAAGACAAGGCTAAGCAGCATATATATATATATATATATATATATATATATATATATATATATATATATATATATATATATATATATATATATCTTCTGCCACATTCCCATCAGCTGTGCAGAAGAGGAGCTCATAAGGCCTAGGACTGGAACAAGGACAAACTTAGAATTCAACAACCATAACTTGTGCAATATATACAACATTAAAATCTGAACTGAAATAATAGTCATTTTAAAAATGGCAGCAGCTCTCTGCTCCTTTTTCAGCTTTACTGTGCAAACTTCATAGAGACTAATGTTGTCACACCTTCTGTATCTTCACTTACATGTAAACACAGCAACAGGAAACGCTATTACAGATCACTGAAACCATGCTTTTAATACTTATTGGAAGCACAGGAAAAAGAATAATCCCAACATCTTTGTTTTGTGTTTTGTTTCATCTTGTGACCATAGAAGTAATGTGATCTCTTAATACCCTAGTTTTGGATCTTTCCAGTAAAGTGGAAAATCTGTCAAAATAGTAAAGGAATAATGGCCCAATGGGAAGAGTCTGTAGGCTTATACATGTTCTGTGTTCATGAGGCCTGGTAGCATGCAAGACCAGTTGGTTTAAAGGAGAGAAATCAAACTCATTCAATGTCAAAAAGCCAGTAGGGCACTGGCTCCTTTTTATGACTTCATCTATGAGATGTTTTTTCCCACCACAGACCTTCACACGCTGTTTGTTCATGAAAGTATAATCTGGCTCTGTGTCATAACTACAGCCACAAAATTATAGCTGCTGAGGCCATCAAACTTTCCCCGGCACTGTACCCAACCCCAAGCTTTGAGCAAATAACACTTTCCTTCCATTCATCTCTGCAACAGCCCCGCCACTACAGGCTGCTGCATTTACACACTGTGAAATTGAACAAATAGACAGGGGAATGGCATATATTACCAAAGAAGTGGAATCTGAATAGTTGCAGAGGTTTGATGTATTGAAATTAAGTGTTTAGAATAAAGCATTGATACCTATAAATGTCAGATGATGTTTAAATGCAGAGAAGGATGTTAGATGTATTTGCAAGAATTTCTGAATGCTTAAAGAAACACTTTATAACCTTTAGCCACTCCAGGTTTAGTCCCTGTTGAAAGCAACTAGCAACACTACACTGTCACAGTTGTTTTTTGTTTTTGTTTTTTTTTGTTTTTTTAGAAAGGCATATTTGGGTATGTGCCAAGTACTGCATTTTAACCTTAAAAATCATTTAAATAGATATTAAATTAAGATAATACTTGAGTCAAATGTTAAGCAGACTTGACCCAAGAAAGGCCAAACCTTTCCCTACCAAGGGATTTTTATGTGTCAGTAGCGGACTTTAAATCATAGACCAGAATAATCACATTGAGGGTTCCTCAAGGCTCCATTCTGGGGCCCCTCCTATTCAATATCTACAGGCTCTCCTTGGCTCAGATTATAGCAGACAACAAGATTAATTAACACAACTATGCAGATGACTCACAGCTTCACATCACGATGTCACCAGGTGACTATGAACCCATCAGAGGGTTGGCTAGATGCTTAGAACATATCAATATGTGGATGCACCATCATTTTCTCCAACTGAATAAAAACAAAACTGACGTAATAACTTTCGGAAGAGATCCAAAGTTAGTAAGTCAACCATTTATCACCTGAAGAACATTTTCAGGATTAAAGGACTAATGTCCAAGCAGGATATAGAAAAACTTATTTATGCATTGATCTTTAGTACAACTGATTACTGCAACAGTGGAGAAGAACATGGAGAATCAGCATTTACATAGTTCTCGATGCTCTACTTATCTGGAACAAACTCCCAGAAGACTGTAAAATATGTATTTCTTAGATAATTTGTATTAATGATTCAGTAAATTTTAAATAATGGTTAAACATAATAGTCTGCATTGGTCACCCAGTAGTATTTGGATGCTTGAATTTCTCGAGTGGGATCAATATAGTTTTATATCCCACTATCAAAACCACTTTGCATTTATAATTTTGCACCTCTTTTTACTTACTTGGTTTTAGCAGTCACCTGTCGGCAGGCATCTTCTGACACCCAACCACAGTACGGGTCCCTGGAGGCTATACAGGACCTAAAAACAGCCACAGAATTTATCAATATTGTTGAATACTTTATGAACTGGAATTAAGCAAAGATTGTTCAATAAACCACAGCAGGGACTGTAATTTAATGTGCGAAATTCCAACATACTTCTTGCATCGTCCATGCCTTTCACAGCGAGACAGCGGCACTTTGACCACACAGGAGGTGAAAGCCACCCACAGAGCGCTGCTCTTGCTGTCTATCTGCATGCCGATGATACGCTTGTCTTCCACACCATCTATACTGCACCTGAAATGAGGGAAGAGTCTTTACTTTACATTGTTCTAAAATGCAATTGACCAAAGGAAGGTCAGGGCAACACATCACAATTAGGTGGAGGTTTAAGAGTTAGTTTCAAGAACAAAATACACAGATTAAGAAGAAGCAGACGGACTAAGCGTGGGCTCAGCAAGAAAAAGGATAATGCTAGCTGAGGTCAGGAGCAGGGTGGGAGATAAAAGAGATAAGAAAAAGGGTGATACGGATATAACCGATAAACAGACAGATGGGCACTGTGAGCAGTCAGCAGCACTTAAGTGTAAAATCCACAAACAGTAACTCAACCCCCTCCACACGCAACCACTCCTCCACCCCAGTTAGTCTACTTTGTCTCCACAGCCACGCAGGAGCACATTCTAATCCCTCTGGGGTGTGTCGAGCATCCTTCTATCCTGTCTTTCCCTTCATCCTGCCATCCCGCTTCCAGGATTTAATCTCCTGTTCACAGAGCTCTAGTCCTGCATTATCGCTAACAATTAGGGCTTAGAATCCATCTACACTGGGTAATGCACAACAATCGGGCCTATGCTGATCCAGCCGGCCAAGCAGGGAGGCAAAGTCACTTACTGTACGCGACTGAAGCCAGATGGCCAGCAGCCGGTGAATGCTCTGCTGCAGCCAACAAGAGATAGGGTGGAAACAGAAAGAAAGCTACTTGGAAAAGGTGGGAAGGGAGGAGCTTGATGGATTTCCATCTAAATATACTGCAAAATGATTCATGCTGTTTAAACTTTTTCACCCACAATACAACCTCAAAGTGCAAACTGCAAACAGCCCCTTAGCCAAGCTCTAACTTTCCATTTTCTCGTTTTTTGGGTTTCATGACTGTTTTTTCTCTCCTGTGTCCATGCTGCCATTTTACCCCACTCTCATCTATTACCTCTCAACCAAATATTTGCTCTGGCAGGACTGTACTGCATCAGATTATTTTTTTTCTGCGGCACAAAAGCACTCTGCTCGTAGTCCTGAGCAAAGTTCAGGGTTAAACAGCCTCATCTATAGAACCCAATCCTACAAAGATGTGATAAATTAGTGAGAGATCCGATGTTGGCTCCGAAGACAAACGCAGCCCTCAGCCTGAGCGTGTATGTGTGTGTTTCCTTCAATCAGCCGGCGTTTTGGAAAGAGCTCAGCTCTGCTGTGGTTGGGAACCACACTCCAATGCTATCCAGAGCTTTAGTGTCTGTGTCTTTAATTTAGAAGCTGTGGTTGGGCAAAGTGTAACTTGATAAAACTCCTTTAAATGATAGAGTAGCCATCTGGGTGACTGGCTTCACTTCAGAGCTTGGGTCGGGGGAACTGGCGGGTAGCGGTGGAGCTGGTGGGTTGGCTTACTTGATCGATGCTAGAATCGCAGAATGAAACACTTCTGAATCACTTAACACACACATGCAGATTAGGTAAAAAAGCTGGCCTTCCTCTGTTTGTGGCAACAGTATCCATGTGTTCCCTCTATTAGACACACATGCTCACATAATTACGTACTTGTCAGGGTTGTAGACGTTGAGCTCCTCAAGGAAAAGGCTGTCGTTGAGGAAGCCTTTGTTCATTTTGGCCAGGAATTTCAGGATAATGCCCTTTTCAGATCCCAGAAACACTACCGTGTGGTTCCTGTTGGGGCCCGCCTCGTTGTCCACCACAATCCGGGTCAAACGATACCTGGAAGTAGGATTACCAAGTAAAGTAAATCAGCCATGCAGCTCAATTGTTAGTGCAACTTTTAAACAATCATCAAGCCGACATATAACAGTTTTTGGAAGGACAATTAATGGTGACGCACACTGAGTAAATGTTGTGAAGTAAGGTCCAGAGAATAACAACAGAGGCAATCGTTTAATCACTTAATGGGCTTTCCATTGTGTATATCAAGTGTCTAAATACGACAACGAAGCACTGGGGGTTTGCTACCTTGTTAATTAAATGATACTTTACATTCATAAGACGGGGATAATACTTGTAGTAGGTAAGAGGGAGAATAAAAAAGACATCAGAGTATCTTAAGCATCCACCAAAAAGCACACATGTATTTTCTCACAATTAAAGATTGTGCTACATGCAAACTTCACTTTCTGTAAAACTTTTAACAAAGCAGCAAAAATAGATTTCGGTTCCCTAAATGCATGTCAGACAGTTTCAGTCTGTTGCTAAAGCAGGTGATTGAGTGAAAATTCTAAAATCTTGTGTCACATTTATTTGCACTCTGTGTTTTCAAGTTCAGAGGTCACTAAAGTTATACAGCAACACTGAGATTACTTAAAGATTAGTTGGTACCTTATTATCTGCCTCCGACGTGGATGCTCCAGCTATAAGATTAGATTTGTTATAGCAATAGGTGCAACTTTTAAAGGCACCTGTCATTATAACAAAGAAATAGATGGCCTTGTAATTATATTACTGAGTTGAACTTGGCTTTTTCTTGCTTTTGATTATTGTTGGACAGCCTTGCTCTTAGGCCCTGTGCACATCAAATAGTCGAATAAAATAGGAGGGTTTTATTTTGGTTTCTTTTAACACTATGTGATGTTTTTATTACAATCCCCATAAGAGAAGCACAAGTAGAAGCTTTAAACTATTGGGATTAAGACTGTAGAACTAGTTGCATTACGTTGTTGAAGCTCAAAAACATGCAAAGGCTTACGGTGCAATTGCTAAGTCATTCTGGCTACCCCACAAAGACAGTTACAGTAGTAGCCATTCAAAATTCCCCCACTTTCCTTGATGGTCCCTTGGCTGGTCCCCTACAATTCCTTTTTAAACATTAAAATTTGTTCTAAAGTATTCTGTCATGATGATTTGTGGACATTAAGATCTAAAGAGAAGCATTATCTCCTTGTCAGACCCTGTAATTCAATTAAAGGGTAAGAGTAAAGAAATATGAAAGAGGGGTCACTCCAGTGGCTGGAAGTTGGAGGGGATTTCGCCAGGAGTTGGAGTGAAGTGGGCTGCCATTCGGCTGGCGTTTAACTTGTAAGGGCCATTTCGAATGGCTGCTACTGCACACGCTGAAACCTGTTTTCTATTGATGCGGTTTCTGAGAGAAAACAAACTGTTGTGGGTTCCACAGTCAGAAAAACACAAAAACTTGTCAGCAAAAAGCATGTGCACATGGCCCTATAGGTAACGAGGTTTTATGGGTCTTGATGAAATGGCACAGAGGGTTCTGGAATGAGAGAAAATAAAATGATAATTGCCTACACTAATTAACCAAACTCAACTGAATTAGAAAGATCTTTTGACATATTTATTTATTGGTTCGCCAGGGGAAAATACCCCTACCTGAATTAATTGTCTATGACTAAGGTTGGGATTTGGCCTAACTGTTATTTCAAACCCTTTGTTGCATCTCCTATGCATTCTGTTTGACACTTAGGTTAAGGACTTGTTGCCAATAGGATGTTAGGATGATTCAAGATGGAAGCTTCAAAAAACAGCTTAAAGCTTTAGGGGTTAATAGAAGCAGATTGGATTTAAAGATTACCGATGAAAGCTTATCCGGAAATCTAGGAAGTCCACTATTACTGCCATTAACGTTGACTGAGTGATCCTTATGTAAAACAGGTTTAAAGGTAAAAGAAATGTGTCTAAAGAGAACAATTTGAAGATGATGTTAAAGATTACTTTTAAAACCACATTGATACTGTTTCCTACTATGGCTGAAAAAAATGAATCGCGTTAACCGTTATTAATCAATTTTTGAAATAATCGTCAACTATTTTAGTAGTCGATTAATCGTTAACTGGAGTATAGAGAGTGTAAAATATGCATTTAGCTGACAGAGCAACCCACTTGGAGCAGTAATTATAAAAAAAAATTAAAAGACTTATAAAAATGTTGCATTTAAGATAAATAGAAAACTTTTTTGTCAATCCATATGCTCTATCCAGAACTCCTTAAGGGGAAACATTTATTTTCACCTGATTTAATTTTTGTAAAAAAAAATTCTTTAAGGAACACTTTGCTATCGGATTATTAATCGATTAATCTAAAATATAATCAATAGATTAATCAATTTGCAAAATAATTAATAATTGCAGCTCTATACCCTGCCTTTGCTTGTTTAAAATTTCACCTGAAATTCTCAGTGATCACAGCTTCACCCACTCCACAGTACCAAAAGTTTTAATTACACTTTGAGTCATGCTAGGACACTTTCAGTCTTAGCATGAGCGCCAAAGAGTGTGAAATTGGGATTTCAGCTTGAGAAATAAAAAAGTCTCAGTATTTAAGGCAATGTCTGTCTTCTTTATTTAGATCCAGATGACAGAAATCTCAGTGAATATAATTCTCTGGTGTGTATGCTCCTTCTTAAAGTGACTGATTGTGTCCTACTAGCTCAGCAGTACGCACACTGTCATGGCAAAACAAACAAAAAACACAAAAAAACAAAAAAAAACAAAAAACCTTTTTCCGTATTGAGGAAGAAGCCAGTACTTGATATGCCAGTGTCCTCTCTGGGGTGTGACAAGGATCAAATCCTATTACGGTTTTCATTTTCAGTTGACTTCAGCTGAAAAATATTAATCCATGATAAAACCCCAAAAGGCGTTTTTATATCCACTCCACATGCCGTTGTGATACTTTTCAGGCTTAAGAAATTCTTTCAACAAATGACTCGAAAGTAAACGGGCATGTTTTAGTGATAAAGATGATATTTGAAAAAGGCTAATAAGCCTTTTGATGCTAAGCTGTGCATTTTGTCTAACAGAGACGACAGAAGACCCCAGAGGTCTTGCTTTTAAATCTACAAAGAAATCTTCAAGCAACATTTTGTCAAAATGTCATGGATCTATCAGGGTGAACAAATTCTAAATCCAGAGCCGCTGCAAGAAATATTTAAATCTCAACCATTTAGGAGGCATCAAATGATTAGACCTAACCTGCCATTAGGGATATGATTTAGCACCTGAGTCCAACTTCAATGTCTGCAAGGATTGTTTTATCACTGAACTCTTTCCATATTGAGATGGAGGTCAGGGCTCCATGTGAGCACCACTGAATGGATTGAAACCCCAGTACGGTCTTTGCTGGGCAACAAGAACAATCTGCCATCATTATTAGGGGTGGAGAGCAGACTCCAGTACACCAGTCTGCATGAGTTTTAACAACATAAAACTGTGACATAGCTTTGATTTTTAATTTCAGTGAGAATAATAAGAAATTCTAGGCTTAAAAATTTGTGAAAAGAGCAATGAACTCTTTATGCTTGCTATCTTTTGTCTTCCAGGGTTCTTAGACAAGTCGGAAAAAACCTGTAATGTAATTTCCAGCTTTTCCTTGT